ACCAGAGCCGGATCCATGGGGAATCGCTCCCGGCTCCCTCCTCACCCCAGGCAGGACGCGGAGACGCTCCCGCCCTGCGGACAGGGACACGCGGGGACGGGAAGGCGGGAAGGGAGCCCCGCGGCTCCACGGATGCATCCGGGACGGGGACCCGCTCGCGGGCCGGACACGGAGCCACGGGCCGGCTCCCGCCCCGCGGGGATGTCCCGTCACCGCTGGGGCCACCAGGTCCCTTTCCGTCCCCCATGGCTCAGGGTTGGGGGCTCCGGCAGGGATGGAGAGCGGAAAACGCACGGAAACGTCCCGGGTTTCCATTCCCGCTGGGGCGCTGGGTTCCCCCCCTCCGCTCCCCGCAGCCGGAGCTCCCTCCGGATCCGATTTTCCGGCGCCATCGGAGAGGTCCCCTTGGGCCCGGAGAGCCGCGCGGCGGCCGCGACGCAAACAGCCGAGCGCAGCCGGAGCGCTCGGAGCCTTCCCTGCTTCCCGGTGACTAATGAGGCCTCTAATGCCGGCCGCTCCATGTGGCCGGCGGAGCGGAAAGCGCCGGCTCCATCTGACATCCCGGGGCTCTGGATAATGGAGGCCGGTGCCTCCAGGGCCCGCGTGGCCACCGCGGTGTCCGGAGAGGGGAAAGCGGAGCCGGGATGGGCTGATCCCGGGGGGAAGCGGGAATCCCGCGCGGCTCCGGCCCCCCGGGTGCCTCGGCCCCTCCGTGCCGCAGGTGGATCAGATCCTGTCGGAGTTCCGGCTCAAGGAGGAGGACCTCAAGAAGGTCATGCACCGCATGCAGAAGGAGATGGACCGCGGGCTCAAGCTGGAGACGCACGAGGAGGCGTCCGTGAAGATGCTGCCCACCTACGTGCGCTCCACGCCGGAGGGCTCAGGTAGGCGCCGCCGCTCCCGATCCCGCCGGGAACGGCCCTTCCCAAGCCGGCCGCGCTGTTTTCCTTGCAGAGGTCGGGGATTTCCTCTCGCTGGACCTGGGCGGCACCAATTTCCGCGTGATGCTGGTGAAGGTGGGCGAGGGCGAGGAAGGGCAGTGGAAGGTGAAGACCAAGCACCAGATGTACTCCATCCCCGAGGACGCCATGACGGGCACGGCCGAGATGGTGAGCGGGACGCGGCGGGAACGGCCTTCCCGGCTGGAAAAGGGCCAGCCCCGAGCGGGGACATCCGCGTGGCCTCGTGGCGGAGCTGTCCCTATGGGAGAGGAGCAGGAAACGCTCCCGGGCGCTCCGGGGCCGAGTCCCAGAGCCGGGACTGCCCAGGGTGGTGGCATCTTGCCCCGTCCCCCGGGGTGGTGACATCTGTCCCATCAGACACACGGAGGGGGTGGTGGCATCTGGCCACGTCCCAGCTGGGGTTGCCCTGCCCCGAGGCCACCAAGTGCCACCGTGTCCCCCCGCTCTCTTCCAGCTTTTCGACTACATCTCCGAGTGCATCTCCGACTTCCTGGACAAGCACCAGATGAAGCACAAAAAGCTGCCCCTGGGCTTCACCTTCTCCTTCCCCGTGCGGCACGAGGACATCGACAAGGTGAAGGGCCGGCGCGGTGGCCTTCGGGCGGCGCGGCGGGGACGCCGGCTCATCCCGGCGCTCCCGGATCCCAGGGGATCCTCCTGAACTGGACCAAGGGCTTCAAAGCGTCGGGCGCAGAGGGCAACAACGTGGTGGGGCTGCTCCGCGACGCCATCAAACGGCGAGGGGTGAGACGAGCGTACGGTTTGTGCCGTCCCCGTGTCCCCCGTCCCCGCGCCGCGGGGACGGAGGGGACGCGCTCAGCCGCCCCGCCGGCCGCCGCAGGACTTCGAGATGGACGTGGTGGCGATGGTGAACGACACGGTGGCCACGATGATCTCCTGCTACTACGAAGATCACCGGTGCGAGGTTGGGATGATTGTGGGTAAGACGGCCCCTGCGCGCCGGCGCGGGGACACGGGGACCCGCCAGCCCGGCTCCCGCTCGCGCTTGTCCCTTTGCCCCAGGGGGGGGGGGTGTCAGCGCGGTGGCAGCTCCCATGGGAAAAGCCGCACATGGGAGGCGCCGCGAGGGACCCAGATCCCGGTGCTTTCTCCCGCATCCCGGTGCATCCGTGGCCACGTCCCGCTCCGTCCTGGCCACGCCGGGGACCCCGCGGAGGTCGAGGTCCCCTCCCGGCCCCGGGGCGGGCGCAGGGGAGCAGTTGGCCTCTACATTTAGTGCCGTCATCGGCCATCTGGGTAAACCCGGCGCCTGGGTAAACACGGGCGGCCTGTTTGTCACACAGCAGCAGCAGGAGGAGGAGGAGGAGGAGGGACGGCCTCGCGGGGCTGAAGCACCCGCCGGGCACCCCCCAAAAAGGGGATGGAACCGGGATGTGGGGGGCCGAGGAACATCCCGGCGCATGCCCACCCGCCGCAGGCACGGGCTGCAACGCCTGCTACATGGAGGAGATGCACAACGTGGAGCTGGTGGAGGGCGACGAGGGCAGGATGTGCGTGAACACCGAGTGGGGCGCGTTCGGCGCCTCGGGGGAGCTCGACGAGTTCCTGCTCGAGTACGACCGCGTGGTGGACGAGACCTCCCTTAACCCCGGTCAGCAGCTGTAAGGAAGACGGCGGACGCGGTCGCAATCCGCCCCCCATTCCCCTCGGCCCCCCGGGTCCTGCGCGCGCTCCGGCGGGCTGAGCTGAGGCCGCGGCGGTTCGTGACAGGGATGAGGCGCCGCCAACGGCCACCCCCTCGTGTCCCCCCCCCGCAGCTACGAGAAGATCATCGGCGGCAAGTACATGGGCGAGATCGTGCGGCTCGTGCTGCTCAAGCTCGTGGACGAGAACCTGCTCTTCAACGGGGAGGCCTCCGAGAAGCTCAAGACGTGCGGCACCTTCGAGACCCGCTTCGTGTCGCAGATCGAGAGGTACCGGCGGCACCGGGGACACCCTGGGCAGCCCCGTTTGGGCCGCCCCCCGTGCCGGGGTGTTCTGTGCTGTCACCCGACCCCCGGTGACAAATCCCGTCACCCGCGGGCTCACGCCGGCCTCTCTCTTTCCGCCTCCGCGCCAGCGACTCGGGCGACCGCAAGCAGATCTACAACATCCTGACGGCCTTCGAGCTGCTGCCCTCGGGGACGGACTGTGACATCGTGCGCATGGTCTGCGAGAGCGTCTCCACGCGCGCCGCACAGATGTGCTCGGCCGGCCTGGCCGGCGTCATCAACCGCATGCGCGAGAGCCGCAGCCAGGAGACCCTCAAGATCACCGTGGGCGTC